GGGTCGGCGTCCCTGGCAGCAACGTCAGCCTGAAGTACATCGCGGGCGATGAGGCCGACAAGGCCAGATTCTCACCGACGCCCTTCTCGACGCCCTCCTCCGCGCTCTCTTCATTTTCGCCCCTGCCTCGACGCCCCCTCCGCCCCCTGCTGCCTCGTTGCGCCCGATCGCTCCGAGGCCAGGGCCATCGCGGAGGCGGAGGAGCTGGTCAAGAAGGAGCTCGCCGCCAGGGCGCGCGGCGAGTAATTCGCGCTACGACTCTTCAACTCTCCAGGCCAACGGGGCGGCCTCGGGATAACAAAAAGGTCGTGGCGGATATGCCGCCTCGTGGCGGATATGCCGCCTTGTAGCGCAGCCTTCTCGCCTTCCAACTCGCGGCGGACATGCCGCCCCCGCCCCACCCCTTTGCGCTCCTCCGCCCTTCAGGCGGACATGCCGCCGCCCCCCTCCCCTAATCGGCCCACTCCGCGCCCCCGCGCCACGTCCCTGCGCCCCCCTCTCCGCTGTCAGGCACTGGATCCCACGCCAACTAACGTCGGGGAGACGCCCACTGCTCGAACGGCGAAGGCGTTCACCCAGAATGGCATGGGCGCGCGCGAAGGCACCGACGTTGCCACCGCCCGTTCAACGACGAAAACAAGTGAACCAAGACCTGCACATTCAAAGGGACACCAGTTCACTTATATTTCTGGTTCCCAATGCCACCCTCACTCTGCCCCCTCCCCCGAGACCCCGTCGCAAGAACCAGCGGGGCCCTTCTGAGAGGCCCCCGAGGGCTCGAGGAGCTCCAAGACTTCAATGGGTCCATGGGCAACCCCCTCCCCCTCCTCCCGAAGTCTCGCTTCCGCGTCCGATTCCATTTCGGTTCAAGCCCGCGGCCCGCGGGTGCCCGCGAGCCCGCGCGGGGTTGGCCCCCCCCTTTCGCGCCGACGCGTGGGCTGGGGCCCGCGCGCCGAGGCTGCGCCGCAGCCACCGCGTCGCGCTCGGCGCCTCGCACTGCGGCCGCGGCCATGGCAGACAGCGACAGCGCGTTCGACGCGTTGGAGGCAGCTGCATCGCCAAAACAAGTGGCCCCGCGTGCGGTAGCCAGGGACGCGCGCATCGCGCGCGAAACTGGCTGGCCGCTCTCGGTCGAACTGTTTTGGCGATTCGGCGCAGGAGATGTTCGGGCCAGCGATGCAGTTGCTCTCCGACCTTGCGGGCGTGGACAACAACGCAGGGGATCGGTCTTCCTCCGCCAGCGGCAGTCGGCCAGCCAGCGCGCCCACGTTGGCGGCGCAGCCAGCGCGATCGCGCAGCCCGCGCCACCCGCGGGCACCGTCGACGCCGCCGCGCAGGCGGGGGCCGACGTCACCGCCGCGGGACCCGCGGCAGCGGCCTTTCCCGCCCTCGGCTCTCGTGAAGGAGCTCGCGTCGCACATGCGGGGCGCGACGCCTGTGGTGGAAGAGCCCCCCGAGGCGGTGGAGGCGCATCCCAGCGCGGTGGAGGCGTTCAGGGCGCAGCTGCGAGCCTGGCTGAGCGACCCCGTTGGGAATCCCATCGACTGGCGGTCGGAGACCGTGCTCGCCGTGCTCAAGGAGTACCAGATGAAGTACGACTACAAGAAGTTCCGCGACCGCGGCCCGCCTGGCCCCGCCATGGGCGGGCCGCAGACGTGGCAGGGCCAGGCGTGGCGCGCCAATGCGAAGCGCTGGGGGAACCGAGGTGGCGCAAAGCGCGAGATGTACGCGAAGCTGCACGGCAACAAGGCAGCGCCGCGGGTGCGCGAGGCGCACGTCCCCAAGCCTCAGCTGATGCATCGGGAGCCCATGGCGCCGAACTTGCCCAAGACGATGCCTCAGCAGGCGCCGTGGAGGACTGGCAATATGAACCCTCCAGTTCCGCCTCCGCCGCCGAAGACCATGGGGCCGCCGCCGCCGAAGACCAGGCAGCCGCCAGCAGGGAAGCCCAGCATGGTGCAGCCGAGGGCAGGGCGTCGGCTGCAGCCGACAAGCAAGATGGCACCACCGCCAGCGAAGCCGCGCCCGCCCGCCCGCGGAGATGTCTTCTTGTAGGGTGATCGCGTGGACCTGCAAGCGGGCTGGGGTGCATAGCTTCCGTAATTCGAGCGCGGATAGTTGCAGCTATCCGCGCTGACGCGTCATGACGCGCCGCCTCTCCCCGCCTCGTCTCATCTCATCTCTCCTCCCCTCTCTTCGTTGCCGATCTATCTCATTGGCGGACGCGCCGCCTCCCCCCGCCTGGCGGACAACCGCCGTTCAGATACGAGCATCGGCGCATCGGGTTTGTTCTATGCGGTTGGAAAAAAACACCAGTCCTTCCCTGAGCCACCCATTGGCGGCTAAACCGCCCTGAAGCCTCCATTGGCGGCCACGCCGCCCATTGGCGGCTAAACCGCCCATTGGCGGCCACGCCGCCCTGAGCCCTCCATTGGCGGCTAAACCGCCGCCGCCGCCTGCTGGCATCCCGAAATGTGCGATGCCACCGCGCCTCTTACACATGTATGTTTTTGTTGTTGGGACGCTGTATCGGCTCGAATCTAGGCGCGCACAGGCTCGCGCCCCACGCCGCCCCTGCGCTAGCCGTGCACTTCTCGCCCTGCCGCCATGGCAGGCCAGCAGGGCGAGAAGACCGTCATGTTCGGCTTCAAGTGCCCACAGAGCAGCAGCTGCAAAAGGGGCGGCAAGTGGTTCCAGGGAGAGACAGTGGAGGAGGCCAGGAACAAGCTGGTGAACCACCTTCACGTGTCGCCGTACCACAGCTTGAGCGAGGACGAAGCGGAGGTAGCTGCTATCGCACTCGAGGCCGACTCGTGGGAAGTCGACCTCGCGGAGTGGCGCCAATGGGAGGAGGAGAAGGCCAACTGGGGCTCCGCCAAAAGGCGCAAGGGGGCGCCGAAGGTCGAGCTGGCGCCAATCCCTCCACAATCCCGCGTGGAGCGCTCGCACCAGCTGAAGGACGCGTTCTCGGAGGGCAGCGGATCGTCAGGCGCAGCTTCGTCAGCCACGGCGGGCATGAGGATGTCCACGGCGTTGGCCAGCCAGATGTCGCCCGATAGCATCGTGGTGCTCAACGGCACCCAGTGCCAGGCTGTGCTCGACTCGTTGCGCCGCGCGCGTACTGCGACGCAGATGTGCGCCCAGATAGCGGAGCGCGCGGTGAACGCTTTCCGCCAAGAGGAGCAATGCATCGCCGAGTGCGAGGACGTGCTCGCGAGCTGGCTGGTGCGCAACGCGACCTCGTAGGTGCAGGTGCACGGCTGGCAGCACTGATGTCGCCTCAGCATCAGTAGCCTCATTCGCGCAGGCGGCGCGACGCGTCGGCCCTACACGCCCCCCTCCCACTCCTCCAACGCAATTTCAATCCACACCCCTGTGTCAGAACAAATTAGGACACCCCCCACACACTCCATCCGCACTCAATTCGTGAAGGCCGCCACGCCGAGGTGAATTTTGGCCACGCAGGCGGCCGAGTAGCCGCCCCCCAATGCAAGGCGATACGGGGGCGAGTGGACGAGCGGAGCGGGAGGAAGGTGAGGGAACTTCGGCGGATAAGACAGGTGGGCGGTTGGATGGGATTTGGCAAAAGGGCTGGGTGGAGAAAACTGCATCCGCATAAGAATGAGTGCGGCTATTTTCTGGATGTGCTGCATCGCCATGTCCGCCCACCCCCCCATCGCCTTGCATATGATGACGCTCAGGCAGCGCGCCCCGATTGCGCGCGCTCGCCCGTCTCTTCGCTGCCGCTCAGGCAGCGCGCCTCGCTTCCGCGCTCGCCCGTCTTTTCGCTGCCGCTCAGGCAGCGGTTTGAAGCACGCGGCGCCGTCCGCGGTCGGTAGCGCAGGGCGCCGCTCCGCCCCTGCTGCTCCGCTTAACTAACTCGGCGGACGTGCCGCTACGCCGCCGCCATGCACTGGCAAAAAAACGTTGGCTGTTATCATATGTTAGCATATGTTATCACGCGCCTGATAACACCTGATAACACCTGATAACACCTGATAACATGTTATCAGGTGTTATCATGTGTTAGCATGGTGTTATCACACGCCTGATAACATATGATAACATATGATAACATGATGTCAATTTTGTGTGGTTGTCATGTTGCGCGCAATTCATTTCAGTATCCGTATCACCTCGTGCGTCCGCCACGCTTCGAGCGGCTAGTCCGCTGGCGGCCAATCCGCCTCCCTCGCCGCGCCCCTGCACCCTCTCAAGCGGCGAGTCCGCTGGCGGATATGCCGCCCCCTTCATACCTCACTCCACCCCTCCCTCCACCTTTGAAGCGGCTATTCCGCTGGCGGCTATCCCGCCTCACTTACCGCGCGTTTTCTTCGTCATCGCTTCGCGTCCAGCTCATCTTGGCATCAGGGCCGCGCGCGACGCGCGGCTTCTCGCGTGCCAAGGCGGTCACGCCGCCATGGCGGGGACGCCGCCCGCTGAAGATCACCAGCAGCATTCTCTGGCAGTGATGTTCGGAGCAGCCAGGCCGAAAAACAAGGGAGTGATGACCAAGGCGCCCGCAGCGAAGCCCCGTGGGAAAGCTAAGCTATCGGGGACGCAGATGACACTGACTGGACAGCTTGTGCCGCCGCTCGCATTGACCGACGCAGGGCCGCCGAAGGCACGCGGGAAAAGCAAAGGCAAGGGCAAAGGTAAGCACCCCGCAGCGTTGAGGACGGCTCGCAAAGCTGCGTCAGCCGCAGCTCCCGCCGAAGAACTGCCTCCTCAGGGCGCAGCGGCTTTGCCACCAGAGCCGGACGACGCAGCGTCAGAGGCGGCATCGGGCTCCGAGGAGCGCGGCGACGAGATTGGTTCCGAGCTCGGCGTCAAACAGGATGAGCTTGAGAGTGCCAAGCGTGAGCTTTGAGGAGGAAGAGGCTCCACCGCAGGGCGCGGTAGCCAAGGTTGAGAATGAGGAGCGCTCGCCCGAGGCGGCAGCGCCGCAGGCGGAGGAGGAGGAGGCAGCTCAGGACGATCCGCCAGCAGGCGCTCCCCAGGTAGGGGAGTTCGTGGATGTGCATGGCATCGGGCATAGCATCGTGCGTTGCAACCGCTGCTGTCGCACGGCAAAGGAGTGCAACTACAGGATCAAGGCGAAGGGCCAGTCGACTTACCAGTGCGACGCGTGCAACACGAACGGGGTGCGCCTTTCTCGGAGGTTCGGACAGTGGCCGCCAAAGTGTTTCGCCAAAATGAAGAGTGAGTTCAAGCAGCAGTTCTACAAGGATCTGGCAGAAGATCCTGGGCTGTCGAACCTCGATCGCATTGAAGCCTTCGTGGTCAGCTCAATCACTGTCCAACGGATGGAGGAGGAGCGCGTCCGCAAGGGTGGCAAGTACCTTCCGCTGAGGAAGTGGGCGCACGACGGCTTCGACGCGAAAAAGATTGAAGATAATGTGCAGGATAAGAGGTGGAACCCTGATCTCGGGGAGTGGACGTACAGGCCGCAATTGGAGGCGGCCTGGAGCGAGACAGTGGAGGCCGCAGTGCGCAACGAGCTGTACACCGATAAGAGGACGCAGGCGAAGCAGAGCGGCCCGCGGGCAGCGGCCTCGACGGGCGTCGCAGAGCACGGCGGCGACAAGGGCGACAGAAGCGACGAGAGCGACATGTCCAGATCCAGGCGGCGCCGCAGGCGCAGGTCTGACAGCCGCAGGAGGAGGAGGCGCAGCATGAGCAGGCGCGACAGCAGGGGCAGGCGCGACAGCAGGAGCAGACGCCGCGACAGACGTCGCGACACCAACCGCAGCAGGAGCCGCTCGCGCGGCGACCGCGACAGGAGCAAGAGCCGCCGCAAGGGCAGGAGCAAGAGCCGCGGCAAGAGCAAGGACAGGAGCAAGAGCAGGCCGTTTGGGGGTTCAACGCAGGGGTGTCGCCTGGGCTTCGCATTCGCTTTCGGTTTCCGTTCAACTCTTCAGGTTCGGATCGGGTTATTGATTTCGCTCGGCTCGAAGTGTTGTCATTTTCGGACAACCCCGAAGGCTCCGCAGGGATAAGGACGCTGAGAAGGAGCGGAGGCGACAGGAAGCGAGGGAGAAGGCCGAGCAGGCCAAGAAGGAGACGCAGGAGAAAAACCTGGCGCTGAAGTGGATCGGCACCGCAACGAGGCTCGAGACAGAGCTGGACGGGTACCTCGAGCATGAGAAGGCGGACAAGGTGCCGTCATGGGCTGTGAAGAACGCGAAGGCGGCGAGGAAGTCTGTGGCAGTCATGAAGGCGGTGGCGCAGAAGCGCGTGCACAGCGGCGTGGCGTTGACGATCACGCAGGACGAGGCCATCAGCATCCAGAAGGATGCGAGCTCGGCGGCGAGGGCCATCGCGGGGATGCTCAAGGAGGCGCAGAAGCACAGCACCTGAGCGCCCCATGGTGGCCCAGTACATCATGAAGTACGGCCTGAAAAAGGTGGAGAAGGACCCGAATAAGCCGCGGCCGCTGGGCCGCTCGTGAGCAGGGGCGGCAGTTGGGCCGCTCCTGACGAGGTGTGTGATTTCGTATATACAATTGTCATTGTTGGTGAAACAACATTTCCACCGCCACCCCACTCGTTACCACCGCAGCCCTTCGTTTGGCGGGGATGCCGCCTTTCCACTCTCGCAAGCCCTTGGCGGACATGCCGCCTTGCCTTCATTTGGCGGAGATGCCGCCTTTGCTGCTCATCGCGCTCCGATGCCTCACTTGGCGAGGCGAAGCGCTTGCCTAACTCCCTCCTGCTCGAGCGCGTCCTGCCCGAGACCCTACCGCGCGAGCTGTGGCTCGCGAAGGCCAGCGACACCGCTGGGAATCCCATCGATTGGCGGTCGGAGACGAAGCAGAGGCGAAGCAGCTCCTTGGCAGGGGCGGCAGTTGGGCCGCTCATGACGAGGTGTGTGATTTCGTACAATTGTTATTGTTGTTGAAAAAAAAAAAAAAAAAAAAAAAAAACATTTCTTCGTTGCCATCGCCACCCCACTCGTTACCACCGCAGCCCTTCGTTTGGCGGGGATGCCGCCTTTCCACTCTCGCAAGCCCTTGGCGGACATGCCGCCTTGCCTTCATTTGGCGGAGATGCCGCCTTTGCTGCCCACCGCGCTCGCACCGTTCTCTCGCGTTTCCCAATGACATGATCTGCCACCGTCCCACCCCTCATCCGTAGTCTTTGTGGCTCAAGTGGAGCCGCTCGAGGTCGTGCCCCTTCGCGGTCTTGCGCCGCCATGGCGAGCATCGCGGACAAGTACGACGTCGATGACTTCGAGCTCATCACGGGTGGCAGTGCGTGGAGCTGGGCGACCATCGTGGTGCGCTTCATCGAGTGGCGCAATCGTTGCCGCCATGCACGCGCCGTTGGCATCAAGGGCCAGATGCTCATCGACAAGGCGCGGCGCATGATGGAGGAGGCGCGCCGCACCGAGGAGCGCGGCAAGATGCTGTGCCAGATGTCGAAGCAGACGGTGCAGGACATCCCAGGCGGCATTCGGTTCTTCTGCCGCCAGCCGCACCAGGAGAGCTGAGCGGCGATCGGCCGGGCCGATAGAGGAGGATAAGGAGGAAGAGGAGGCAGGATGAGGAGAGGAGGAGGAGGTGGATGAGGAGTTGGAGGCAGCACGCGCACCCGCACTAAGAGCCGCCAGCCGCCGCCGCGCCCGCCCCGCGCTGCGCCCGTCCCGAGCTCGAGCCGCCAGCCGCGCCCGTCTCCGAGCGCTGGCGGCTTGGAACCCGAGCGTGAAACTCAAGCTCGAAATTGCGTGCGAGAAAAAGAAATCTCCCTTGCAAGTTCCGTTGCTACGCTCACTTCGCGCCTCCGCAATCTCCCCCACCCACCCCCTTCCCCCCTCCCCCCTCCCCCCATGCCCCCTCGCCCCCACGCTCTTCGGCGGCTACGCCGCCCCTCCCGACCCTTCAGGCGGCTACACCGCCATGCCCTTCGGCGGCTACTCCGCCCCGCGATCCATTCCCGCCTCCACTTCCGTCTCTCTGGCTGCAATTCGTTTTTCTCAACCGCGCTGGGCCTCGCGCTGCCCCCCGCCCCCGCCCCTCCCGCGCGCGGGCGTCGGCGCAATGGGGAAACGCGCCCTGCAGGTGGACAAGCAGGTGGAGCAGCGGGCTCGACTGCAACAGTGTCTGGCCCTGCGCGGCGTGTCCGCGGCTTTGCTCGAGCGAATCGTGACTGCGCTTGGCCATGGCGACGACGCGGGCGATGCTATAGACGTGAGCGCTCGGGCCATGCAGCGATCGCAGACGGCATCCGTGGCCGATCTCATCAGCGCAGTGCGGCTGCAGCCCAAGATCGGCACGCCTTTCCGATGGAGCGTGGCGCTGCCGCATCGGCTGATGCCGAGGCTCCTGTCGGACTGCCCTCTCTGGAGTTCAATGTTTTGGGAAGCGATGCGCCGTTTCCCTGTGTCGCGCGATCGGCCGTGGAGGCTTTTGCTGTACTACGACGACATTGGCGTGGGCAACGCCTTGAAGATAGATAATCGTCGGAATCAGCTCGCGGTGTATGCGAGTTTCCTCGAGTTCGGATCCTTCTTGCAGAAGGAGGTTGCGTGGCTGCCGATCGGCACCTTGCGCGTCGTCGTGAAGAAGAGCATCGGCGGCTCGGCCGCGGCGCGGGCATTGCTTCGCGCGCTGTTCCTGGGCCCAGAGAGTCTGTCGGAGCACGGTGCGCCAATCGGCGGCGTGCACTTTTTCGCCAAGTTCCACCGCTTGATTGCAGACGAGGCGGCTGGAAAAGAGACATTCTGCACCAAGGGCGCTGCAGGTCTGAGACCGTGCTTGCAATGCAAGAACGTTGTGCTGGATCAGGCGGAATGTCTTGCAGACTACGACGACGATGATTACCTCGTGCCTCTCTGGTGCGCTGACTCGTCGCGCTTTGACCCGCTGTCGTCAGACGAGTTTTTGCAGCAATATGATGATTTGGCGTCGCTGCGGGACACGACAACCAGAGCGAACATCGAGAGACTGGAGCCAGGGAGGAAAACATTTCCATCGATCCCCTTCTGATGTCCCCCCCTTCCTTCCCTTCTGATGTTCCGGCCCCCGAAGGAGACGGCAATGGGCATCACTCTGGATGACCGTTCTCTGGTGGCGTGCCAGGCGTTGCGGACGGTGGCGCCGCCGAGCACATACGTGAGGGACCCCATGCATACCATGCTGGCCAGCGGCGGGACCTTGCAGGTCGAAATCTTTGCGCTCCTCAAGGCGGTGAGGGATGTCATCCCCGACGCGTGGGGAACGTGGCGGGATCGCTGCTCGGCGTGGCGGACTGGCAGACGCGGCAGGAAACCGCCAGCGTTTCTGTTCAGCGTGGCTCGGAAGAAAGCGACCTGCAAGGCGTCGCACTTCGTGGGCAAGGCGTCGGATTGCTTGGCCGTGTTCCCTTTGATTCGTCATTGGGTGCACACAGAGCTGCGTCCCAGCGGCATGGCGAACGCTGCGGCGCGGTCGTTCGAGGCGATGGCGAAGATGCTCGAATTGCACATGCAGGGCAAAAGGACATGCGGCCGCAGCTGAAACGCAAACGCTGGCCTGCGCGTTCGAGGATGCACCGCGTCGGCCCGCGCGCATCCTCGAGCGCTTAGGTGGCAGGCGGTTCGGCTACGTCCTGAGGATCGGCGCCGTGCCGAATTTGATAGCTGTCTGGACCAAGGCCGTTTCGATTTCCTTGGCGCTGCACAAAGCCGCGCACGGGCCAGCCCTGATCAAGCCGAAGCATCATTATTTGTGGCACGTCCCCGACCAGCCTGCGGAGGACGGCATCTGGTTGGACGCCTTCGTACTCGAGCGGAAGCACAACCTGCTTCGGTCCAGGTCGCAGGAGATCGACAACCCTGAGAATTTCGAGCGGTCGGCCTTGACGGCGATGCTCGCCTGCTTCCTGGAGGAAGCGAAGGAGGCGCCGCGCTCCCGCGCCAAAGCGTGGCGCACGCCAGAGCTGGACAGTACGTTCGGGCACTCGGGGCGCAACCTTGCATGCCCTTTGTGGAGGAAGATGGGCTGGGAGAGGGGAAGGCGGTTTGCCGCCGAGGCGGCTCGCCGCCAGGAGGAGGAGGAGGAGGAGGAGGAGGAGGAGGAGGAGGAGGAGGAGGAACCCCTCCGCAGGGCTGAAACGTGGACCAGCAGAGAGGCGCCCATCGACGGCCAGATGTACGGCAGCCAGGACAGACGGCGCAACCAACCTTGGTATTTAGGGGTGCACATGCGTGTGCCCCCCCAAAAATCGAGGCGCTGCTGCCCTCAGGATTTTCTCCTGGCGACGGCGAGGCGTACATCGTGCATTGCTGCGCGCAGGCTGGCGCCGCCAGCTACCTGCTGGTGGAGACCCTGGAATGGGTGCGCGCGCCATGCCCAGGCGCGTCCCTGTGGCGGCCGCGCGGCGACGTCGCCGTGATGCCCGCCGAGCTGATCCCGCCAGCCTGGGCGGCTTATCGGCGACTACAGGACGATGGCTATGTGCTCGCCATCACGTGAAAAAGGAAAAAACGAGCGCATGCGAGAGCGGATATGCCGCTGGCGGATGCGCCGCCCTTCGATAGAGAGGTGCAGGAGGGAGGGGCGGATATGCCGCCGAAGAAGGAAGGCGGGCTCGGGGAGGGAAGGCGGCAGGAGGGAGCGGGGGCGGGCTGGCCGCCGACAACGAGGAG